AGCAAGATTTCCGGTCTTCCTGGACTTAACAAGCCACAATGAAATGCTGTGGAATTGCCATGCTCTCTGCACAATATATCGGTGGCCCTGGGGTGTTGTCTCAGATGTCAAAGCTACTGGCACACTAGCCCTAGTATCTCTTCTGAGTCTGCATGGGTGTATTGCGAACTCACTCACTTCCAGCAATGGTTCTTGTCAACTTGCTTGTTCAATATAGGAATGAATGACGCTTCCGGAAATTTGTCATACAGGAACCCGGTAATGGTTGGTACGGGGTCATCCCCAAATTCCCTTCCAAGGACAGGCAAGTTAATGATTTCACATGTCTGCCAACACACCCTATTGTCCTTTCTGTTTGGATTGTTCTTGGAAATCAAACACTATATTGGCTGTCCTTTTCCCCTGAAGTTCAGAAGTGACCAAAGCAATAGGATCACCCAAGCAATGGTCTCAACATGAAAAGTGGGCCGGGGAGCCTCCAACCCTTAGAACCTCTTGTCAATTTGATCTGAATCCTCCGGACATACCTTTTATGTACCTGGCATGAAAGTGATATGTAATCCTTCCTTGCTGATTTGACTGCCATTGCTACGGCCCACGTCCAGGGGACATTCAACTTCCTAACTGGCAATCGCTACCAAGGCACTCGGCGCGTCTCATGGCATTCATCATCTCCTCGAGCGCCCCATAGCGAGCAAGACGGCTCCTTGGGCAAAATTATTGGCCAGGCTCACAGCGCTGCAGTTTTCGATCGAAAAGCTTGAGTGCATCTCTCCCAAACATATTCCCACAGCCAGAAGGCCTTTACCCCAACTATGAGTCCCTTTTCCCGTACAAATTAGAGTGAGATGACGTTTGCTTGCCCTTTTCACTGGTGGCCAAATCGATTCATGGATGGACACAAGTATTGCATCCTATGCCTGCCATCTACATACCTTGGTCTTCGTTTTGAGGCAAATGAAAGCAGTTGCCGCGTTGCCTCCCATTCGGCTCCTGACACCCTGGAAGAGCCGCAGGAAGGCCCCCCGCGAGCAGGTCCCGGGGAGGCACTTGCGGATGGCGCCTGTCAACGGCTGGCCCGTTTCCACAAGTGCTTCAGAAACCCAACTGAAATGACAAGAAACTGCACGAACCTGCCATGTGGGATCCTTTAAGACAAATCTAGGGAGCACAGCTCCGCTTGGCCCCACAACGGAAGTCCAACCAAAGCAAACCAACGAACAAAGAAAGCGAAACATTCAACGTGTGGTCAGCTTCTCCCCCTTAAGCCCCCTTATCCGGCCTAGCTCAGAGTCGAAAGCACTGTCAGCGCACTCCTGAAGCTCCTCAACGGGGAGGCCGCGCCAGGGGCCCGCGGCCGTTCGAGGTCACAAGTTCAGAGATGTGTTGTTTCTCCCAAAGGGTCAAAGTCTGCGCGGCACAAGGCCTCTCTTTGCTATTCTGCTCGTGTTCACAATAGCTCAAGGCTGACATGACTCGTTTCTTCGAGTTTCCTGTACGAACCGTCACAATTACAAACGTTCCCATGTGATGAAAGGACGCCGCCTCCAGACCTCTGTGGAAGCCATTGAAATTCCCACATTTGTACGCATTCCCATTTGGAACATTCCCGCTTTGACACATTCCTGTAGGGATCCCCACATTCTGAGATCAGGTGCTTACGCTTCATGGACTTCACTGCTCAATGTCATGGTTGCCTGGAATCTGCTTTTCCAGTTTCCCGAATGGCTATATCAGGCCAATGATGCCCGGAGGGAAGCCCGCTAAAAAGAGCCGGCGAAGGTTTGCGGGCCCGTAGCACTCGATCCGCGCTCACAATGAATCCCACAACTGCAAGGGCAAATTCAAGGAAAGGGGTGAGGTAAGGAACAGGAGATAAAGGAACTGAACAAATACACCCCAAATGCACTGTGCCTCTCTGAAGCCTTTGAGCTCCTTGAGCTCCGCCTTCACGGCAATCTCCATCTCCGTCTCCGGGGGCTCCAGCAAATAGAAGCTGCCCCCGTGTGCCGTGATGTTCGTCTGGGCCTGAGAAAGCATTGGGCACTGGATGCCTCCGGGCCAACTGAAGCGGCGACATGGCCATCCGCCACATCGATTCATGTTGTTTAAACAACAATCATAATAATCATAAAATAATCATAAAATAATCATAATAATTATAATAATAGAACATAGTAAAGGGTTGCCCATGTGAGATGACGCACCTCTGGCTTCTTTCTGAACAAAAGGTGCAGCAAAGGGCGAGAGAAGCTTGCGCTTCATGCAACTGCAGCAATGTTCAAGTGCGGAAAGATTCTAGAACAGCGGTCATCTGCCACGATTCACCAAAATAGTTGTTCGCCAAACCCTCAACTCCGGGTGGGGGGGGGGGGGGGGGGATGGTTTTGCCCTTGTAGCAAGTAATACAGACTCCTAGAAGACTTAGTGGTGCAAAACCAAAAAGCATGCATCATCGTTTCAAAACATTATATTCCTTTCCTTGCAACAACCACACCTGCTTCCAATTCCAGCACCCCTCATAGATCGGCTGCTCTTAGACCCAAGAGTGATTAGTGGCTCCCACCTACGTCCCAGAAAAGAAGTTGACAGCGCGTGTCTCGTGCTCACATATGCTACTGCTTCCATTCAGAGCTCGTCGCACCCGGGCCTCGCGGTTGCCGAAGTCGTCCGAATCGTCCTCCGCGAAACGCAAAGCCAGACGAATATATATATATATATATATATATTCCCGTTAGATGCCAGTCACTCAGCGCTGGATGGTTGGCCTCACTGGCAATGTTGACAGTTGTTCGCCCTATGTCAGATTGATGCGGTGGAGTTCTCGATTGTGGAAACTCCGGCTTGCTAGTGGTTCCCTCGAGTACCTGATTTGTCAAGCCTGCAAAGCCGCCCTGCCAAGTGTCCACGCTCCTTCCTATTTTGTGTAGTTGCCTTACCTCAGTAATCCCTCCCCCCCTGTTCATAATTGCTATGAATAAATGTAATGCTTCGCAATCTTTCCACTGACTAGAATTAGGCAATAATCACTAAGCCAATTCCCAACCAACGGATTCTCTGCCCAGCTGCCTTTGTATTAGGAGTACTTCGCTTACGATCTTGACGCGATTTGTGCCTGGCAAAGGGTGGGACAATTTCGACGAGGATCAAAGGAAACACAGACCCCTGGACCCCCTTGGACCGTTTGCAAATGTATATGTATAGAATACATATATATATATATATAATATTGTTTCCAACAAAATATGTTGCACAGGGAGGAATTGTCTTTTGCCAGAAAGCGATGGTATCATGTTCTGGCTGCCCGGATGCCATTGTCTCAATTGTCGTCCAACGAATCAGCGATGGGGCGGCTTGCGGCTTGCGGCTTGGGTTTGGTTCAACACCTCGGAAGGCGGGAGCTTGTGCAAAGAGACCCTGAGATGTGCAAACAGCATCCCTTTGACTCCCCATGCCTTCAGCATCAGTCCTCACCCCAAACGCGGGTGCTCTTCTTCGAGAGATTGCGCTTGCTGGACTGGCGAATCCAATCGACTACTCCACGGACCCCGCAGGCAGGCGTCAATCAGGGGGTTACGGGGAAAAATGTGGTCCCTGCTATACCCCACACTGCACCCACACGAATTCTCAAGTCTCAGTTTTCTTACAGCATTCCGGCAAGAAAAGACGCGGCTTGAAAGCGGGTTGCCTGCTTTCAGAACGATCAAAGCGTCCAGCCCGGGCTCAGGGCCTCACGCCATGTGACCCAAGGAGCTGGGCTCGTGCCCGCGCCTGCCGAGAGAAGGCGTCCGGGGACTTGGAGAAGCTTCGCAGAGACTCCAGCCTCAAACAGGGAGCGCCCTGCCAACAGTCCATACTTCACGGAAAAAGAAACCAACATACTGGCAAACATAGTCCTATCAGGGCAATAAGAAGCTGAAGCGAACCAACGCTATCTCAAACTCTCATCTTGCTGGCTTGAACATCTGCAGGTCACTGACCTGAGCAGCGCTGTGCCTGAGACTCTGCAAGGCATCACCTGCATCATCCACATCTTCCGCCCCGCAAATGAACGGACGATACAGGTGATGCCTGGCAATCGCAGGCACAGTACTGCAGGTCAGCGACCTGCAGACTCCTTAGCCCAGCAACCGCCCACGCAAATCAACAACCAGTGCAGGTGATGCAGGTAATGCCTGGCAGAGTCTCAGGAAAAGCGCTGCAGGTCAGTGATCGCCCACGCAAATGAACAATCAGTGCAAATGATGCAAGTGACGCCTAGCAGAGTCTTAGGCAAAGCGCTGCAGGCATTGCTTGCAATCTGCACTGGTGATTGCGGCCGGCCGCTGGGTAGGAAAATCTGCAGGTCGCTGACCTGCAGCGCGTTCTGCCTAAGACCTGCCAGGCGCTTGCAACATCTGCGCTGGTGTTCATTTGCGTGCTGCTTTCCCAAGCAGCACTGACCTGCAGCGCTTTGCCTGAGTCTGCATTGATTTGCGTGGGCTGGGCAGGTCACCGGCAGCGCTATGCCTGCCTGGGACTCTGGTGGCTCATTTGCGTTGGCGGCAGCTGGGCTGGAAAATCTGAAAGTCACTGATTCGGCAGGTCATTTGCGTGGGATCTGGGCTGGAAAATCCACAGGTCACTGACCTGCAGCGCTTTGCCTGAGTCTGCATTGATTTGCGTGCCGGGCAGGTCACCGGCAGCGCTGTGCCTGCCTGGGACTCTGGTGGCTCATTTGCGTTGGGGCAGCTGGGCTAGAAAATCTGAAAGTCACTCATTCGGCAGGTCATTTGCGTGGGCGGCAATTTGGGCTGGACACTGATCTGCAACGCATAGCCTTCAGGCAGCGTCTGCATCATCTGCACCGGGTTGCGAGAAAGCAAATCTTACGTGGTATGTTTTCGTGACCAGAAGGAGAACTCTGCCAACGGGTTTACGCTGGGGGAGGTTGGCATTCTCAAGCCGCAACACAACCTTATTTTTAAAAAAAGTCTGATCCCCATCCGGCAGAGCGGACG